TAAGAATATAAATAAAAATATAAGAAAATTAATAACAATCAATAAGTAATGTGTCATTCATCCGTAATCTAAACCCTAATAATTTTGCTCTTTTGTATGAATTTTGAAGCTTTCTTGCAGATAATGTTGCCTCAAAACTAAACAACATTGGTTACAAAAATGTATTAAAAACAAAGCAGAGAAAAATTCAATCCGTTATTCCTTGTGGTTTAAAGATCCAGGCCGATAACCTAAATGTCGCTGGTTTGAACCAGTCTTTCAGAGCGCTATAGGGTGACTGTCCCTTTAACTTAATAAGACACCATCCTATGGCAACATCACATGCTTCGTGGAAAGAAATTCAACCAGCCCGGAGTTTGCAGATAACTAAAAGATTATTTTCTAAGAATCAAATATGTGACTCTGTAGAGCATGTCTGCTATTACAAATTATACCATCATGGACATAAAGTTTGATTCAAATGCTCAAGCGCAATATAAGACATTCATTCAAATAAGTATTGACGACTTTAAGCAAACAGGCTAATTCCGTCAATTACACGTGTTGCAAAACATTCCTCTTCATGTTAATTACTAAAGTGGTTATGGGAGAGTCATGAACATACCGTACAGAATGCGACTGTTTAAACTGGATATGTGCCCTTTAACGCACTACTGTACATGTGCTTGGTGGTTTGAAGTTTCCATCTGTGGTCATATTTTCCAAAGCAGCGTCAGTCACCTGGAATGAATGGGCATTTTTAATACACTTTCTTGAATTTGATTTATATCATATGGTTGCCATTTGATGTAAGAATTAACGCAAGAGTAAATAAAATGGAAGTTGTGTTGAGTATCAGACAATTCCAGTGATGACAACGATTGACCTGAGCTCTAGGTAGGTTTGACACTAAAAGAAACTGACGACTTTCACGCACTCTATGATATTTCTTGTGACAAAGATGATAAATCTGTGGCTAAAATCTACGGACAGCATTGATTTTTTTTTCCAGTGAAAGAGTTTAATTTTAGACAGCTTATTAACACATATCAGTCTTATACTCATACTCATATCAGTCAACTACTCATCAGCTAAACAAAAAGATTCAAGTTGTAATAGATCATGACCTTTTCACCTTTATCATACTTTCCCCAGTAAAAAGTGCAAAAGTAAAAATCCCAGTTTAAAACATCAATGTTATAATAGTAATTTTTCTACAATTAATTATCTACAATTACATTTAAATTATTCTCAATTATGTGCTTCATCACATTTTCTATTAGAAATATACATATATCAGTACTGTTATCATTAACTAAAACTAAAAATATATTTTAACATATTTATTTAATGTTAACTGAAATAAAATATTTAAAAACTTAACATATTTTACTTAAATTAGTAGCCAAGGCAACATTTACATTTTTCATTTAGTTTAAGTTGACGTAGTAAAATCACTAAAAATTTAATTAATTACAAACTAAATAAACAGATTTAAAAAAATGATCTATGATAAATGATCATTTCGCCTTCATTGTCACATTTTCCTGTTAAAAAGAGTAAAAGTAGATGTTCTTAGTTTAACAAAATAGTGTTTAATGTTATCTGTAAGTATAGAGTTAAAGTAAAGTAATTAAAAACAGTGTTACCAGCAACTCAGCTTGGAAATTTAGTACACAATTGATCCACGTTGATAAAACAGGAGTAATTAGCTCAAGGGTTTGTTTTACTGTAACTAAAAGAAAGATTTGGCACATGTAACAAATTATGGTAAAATAAGACATGTAACTGGTGATTCTAGTGCCTCATTAAATTGGATTAAAGATTCAAACATTTTTGTTTTGATCTCCTACTTATGCAAACATCTTTTTCTCTTTGGACTCTGTGCATGAAAAAGGTGTAGAGATTGAGTTCCTATTACCGGTCATGTCTTGCTTTCTGAAAACACAATCTGTTTATCCCTTTACATCTTGCTGCTTTCTCTGCGTATGTGTTTCAGACAAAGAACATCAACATGACACTCTGTAACCAAGAGGGTCTTTCCAGCCCATCCATGAATGCTGATACCCTTTCCGGCTAATGGTAACTCTATAAGGGAAAGCGCTGTAACTGACCTGTGTTGCATTGTGCTTTACTGTGGTGATTGAAAGTTTTGTGCTTTAAGGTCCTGATTTGAGGCGTAAGTGCTTGTTGACATTGTGTGATTATTGACAGCAATGAAAATGATATGTAATTGGCAAGGTGTTTTCTCACATCACTGCTATTCTCTATTGTTATATATCAACCACCCTAACTTTTTAAATATTTTTACCCATTCTGAAGAAAATGTGAGAGGTACTTGTTTTGTTTTTTTTTAAAGTCACCCACATGATACTAGGTCCACACTTAAGTTGCTATAAAATTATGGTTCCAGGAGGCTCTTTCAATGCATTTTTTTTCCCCAAAAAATTTTATGATCTATCAGGTAAAAATCTTAAAGGGGTCATATGATGCGATTTAAATTTGTCCTTTCTCTTTGGAGTGTTACAAGCTCTTAGTGCATAAAGAAGATCTGTAAAGTTGCAAAGACTAAAGTCTCAAATCCAAAGAGATATTCTTTATAAAAGTTAAGAGTCAGCCAAACCTACCTAAAACGGCTCGTTATAACCCGCCCCCACATGTCTATATCACAATGTGGGAAGAATTGCATAACGCCGTCCAAATGTTCACGCAAAGAAAGAAGGCGTAACCGAAGCGGAGTCCAGCCCGGGGTCGTCACATGTGGTTGCCGCAAGCTGGCCGCGCCGTTCTCAAGCCCACCGGCCTCCGCTCACTCTAGCCCGTCGTGTGTGACGATGTGTTTCGTTGTGAAAGTGAAACTACTTTGTTTGGTCTTCCAAAAGAGGACACGACTAGAAATCAGTGGTTAAGTTGTATTTACAACACTGTTCCAGAACACTTCAACCCAAATATTCAGATGTGTCCAGCGCATTTTATGGAAGACTGTTTCCTGATCCTGGGAGAGTAGACTACAATGCCGGCTGTTCTGACTCACAGACTGTAAGTACGTTTTTTTCATATTTAAAGGATTTGCCACTGATCATTCAAACGTGAGTTTTGAGCAGTGTAGAGTAGGGCTTGTTGTTTGTCACTTCTCTGATCACAAATGCAGACATGGTTTTATGTTTACGCGGCATGATGCAACGCAACGAGTAAAAAGACAGTATAAGTCATTATAATCCGTAATTATGTCCCCACTGGATGCAACAAATACCTCGTTTATATTTTATTACACCAAATACACAAAATAATGTTCTTTTTAGCAACATCATATGACCCCTTTAATTCTGAATCAACAAATTGCATAATCTGAGCACCGAAATGTAACACTCCTCACCCTAAGTATGTGCAAGACTAACAGTGAAGCACCACTAATAATTGTTGACGGGATTCTGTAAAAACTAAAATAAATAAAATAAAAAATTTGAGTACGCAAACTGACAGTTTGTTTGCCTTTGTTGACATGACTTAAAGTTTGCATCATTGTAACAATTACCAGTTTATATTAAATAATTAAAAGATCTCATGCACTGTATCTAGTTCAGAAAAAGTTCTATGCAAATTATTCTCTATATTTATAGTTAAATTATTCACAATTATGTGCTTCATCTCATGTTTTCTATATTCATGGAGCAGTATTGTTATAGTTAACTAAAACAAAATAGGCCTATATATAAAAATGTGTTAACAGATGCGAGTTAAATATCGCATGCGATTTATCGTGCAGCCCTACTATAAATGTTAACTGAAATAAAATATATTTTTTAATTATTTTATTTTAGTTAGTAACTAAGGCAACATTTCTAATTTGAAGCATGTTGAAGCATGTCTACGTTGAAGTTGAAATTACAAACTAAAAATAAAACCTTAATAGACATTTTTTTAAATGTACATTTCAAAAAAAATTATCTAAAAATACAAAAATAAAAACTAAATCCAAATATTAAGAAATATTTTAATAGTATATCTATTATACTAAAATAACACTGGAAGAACAAAGTGTAACATGTGTAATGTTACACTATGTGTAACACATAAGACAAAAAAACACAAAATGAAATACTTTAAATGCCACAATCAACTGATCATTTTAACCACTAACTCATCCTGACAAGCTACAAAAAGTAACAGCAAAATAAACAGCAGCTGTGCAAATAAAACTAGCAAACATAATCATACATGCCCCAATGCATGCTGGGGAGAGGTGGAACGGATTAGAACCACAAACCCATTTCATTTTTTCAGTAGCCTACTTGGACTGAACAAACACAATAACACGACTGTTGGCTTGACTTAAAAATTCAGAGTATTTAAAAAAAAAAGAAAAAAAAAAGAAGAAGCATTAATTTTGTTCCTAAAATTACTATGCTCAAATTACTATAATCAAATAAATTTGCTTATAAGACTACTGTGACATTCACAACAACACTACCCTTGTTTGATGATCTGCCAAGTCATATTTTCCCTTTCCCCTGCGTCACTCACCTGAAGTCACTATATGGATGTATAATCCAAACCCCAAATGACTTGACCCGTTCCTGCTCGGCTGCAACACCCGTTGCACTCCCAAACATTCGCAGTGAGAACTTGTTGACCCCTGGCTGCAGCAAGGAGCTGAACTGTCTCTGGAGAAATGTGGACTGGTCAGCGAAGACACTTTCTTCTGATTCGGATGGCTGAGGGGCTCCCGCAGGCCCTGCTGACTCTGCCATGGCTTTGTCGAGGCGAGGCGGAGTGGATGTGGTCACGGTGGAGGTGGTGGTGGTTGCTGTTGTGCCATCTAACCCTGCGGTCACCTCAAGGGATTTTGAGGTGGGACTGGCCCCCGAGTCTGTGCATTCCTGGTGGTTCACAACGGACAGCAGCCTTCGGCTCACATCCTCTCCTCCTCGAAGTAAAGTCCTCGAAGAGGAACGCCAGTTGTTTAGGGAGAAGCCACCTCTGGAGCGGAGCTTTGAGTCACCCTTTGAAGCCAGAGGCTGTCCATCACCATCCATAATTCAGATCTGATGTTAATGCAGGTTCAGGTTGATGACTAGTTTGGCAGATGGGAGTCTCAAGAAGAGAATGAGGACATGATGCTTTCCAAATTCAGAATCCTTTTGTATTTGGAAACCATGTAAGGTTTGTATAGGCCTACAAAAACTTTTTTAATATGAATAGGTCTAAATATGATTTTAACTCTTATTTAAGATGAATGTATTTGTTAATTTTTCTTTACATACTCATAATGCAAACTTAACCTTCTTTTTAAACTCTTTCTCTAGTAATATATGAACACAACGCATTAGGTCTCAACTAGCATTTCAAAAAGCCCAAACATGTCCATTTACTGTAGCTATTTACTGTGAGTTTACCCGTGCAAACGGACTCTCGCGTGATCCCAAAACTTCCGAGGAGAATCCATCTGCCCTTGAAAAGTTCCTTTGGGAATAAGTGCATTTATTGTCAATATTATTCCCCCGTATCCACTTTCCACACATAAACCATGTCGCGCGCTGGCAAAACCTCCTCGGAATGAGCGCGCGGGTTGTCTTGTCGTCAAATCACGCGTCAGTTAGAGAACGCGATGAAACCCGCGGAGGTTTGTGTATAATCGGCTTCTTGAAAGCAGGCGCTGTTTTTATCTCCCTCTCTGCTGACACATGCGTGTTATCTGTTCAACAAGCTGTCGGGATGAACAGGTAGAGGAGAGAGCGTCACACCTCAACGGCGCGGCTGGGAAGGAAATGGGCGGGGCCAACCTGTGCTAGAGGACACTGAATCCGCTGGAGGCTCACAGGTATATTTACCTGAGGCTGCTGCGAGCTTTAGAAATACATTCTGCGCGTGTGCAGAAATATACTGTAGCCTATGCTACACATTCATTTTAAAGGGGTCATATGATGCGATTTACATTTTTCCTTTCTCTTTGGAGTGTTTCAAGCTCTTGGTGCATAAAGAAGATCTGTAAAGTTGCAAAGACTAAAGTCTCAAATCCAAAGAGATATTCTTTATAAAAGTTAAGAGTCAACCACGCCCTCCTAAAACGGCTCGTTCTAACACGCCCCCACATATCTACGTCACGATGTGGGAAGATTTGCATAACGCGCCCAAATGTTCACGCAAAGAAAGAAGGCGTAACTTTTATTCTCGCTGTAGTATTATTGCTGCTGCCATGTCGTGAAGGCGCTGTGTGCTTAGTTGTGAAAGCGAAATTACTTTGTTTGGTCTTACAAAAGAGGACGATATCTGCTTCGTCATGCCTAGAGCTGATCCGTGCTGGTTGCTGAGGAAATAATACAACTTTGCATTGTCGATCGCCGGATCGGCTTTCACCGTGGAAGAAGCGCCGGACAGGGCATCACAATATGGCAAGGGGCGTAACATTTCCGTCTCACGCTTGAGGTATTGAGCATAAGTGAGATGCTTTACCTTTGGCAAACAAGAGGAAATCATTAAAGACATGGCCTTTGCTGTACACAGGCTTTCTACAAAGAGATGGGGAACATGGCCAAATGTGCTCGGTCATGTCTTACGTAAATACAGCACCAAGGCCTGTTTGACAAACACAGTTTTGTTCACTGTGTTCACATATGTAACTTGAACAATTTAGCAAAATTCAGGTACAATTATCTGCAAAGTGATAAAATGAAGATCGTCTTTATTGGAAATGTTTAACGCAAAAGAACGCCAGAAACATAAGCTGTCATAAACTGGTTCAGTTGTTTACCAGTTAGAATAACGGTGTAATTTGAGGCATCTGAGAAACAAATTTGAGCTCAGTTGTTTTAAAGTTACTGTACAACTTGAGCGTTCAAGAAAAATAAATAAATACAAGAGGTACAGAAATATGGAGAAAATACATATAAACCACACATACTGTACAACGAGTCTGAGACCACCAGTGAAAACTCTTATAATTTACCATTCAAATGTATTTTCAGATTTTAGTTAGTGGCTTAAAGTGTACAATGTTAAATATTTATTAAATAGCCTATCAATTTACTTCTTTGTTTTATTTATATTTTTAAATAGCTAAAGACCTTTTATTATATTATTATTATTTCTTAAATTATAAATCCTGATTTTCATTGAGGTCTCATGACTTATCATAATCATGATATCTTATCATGATATATCAAAATCAAATTATATTCCTGGAATGCAGCATCTGTAGGTCATAATTCACCTCAGATATTGAACTGAGATATTAGCAGCAACAAAGGAAGTTCCTTTTGGTAACCAGGAAATAAACTGGATAACAATCAGTTGTCCCATCATTAGAGTAATTTGAAATGGTTGCTTCTCTGTGGTCACATGACTTTACACGGATCTGCATTTGATGCTGATGTTATGGAGGCTTGTGCTCCATTCATACTGAGACTGAGTCCCCGGAAGGCACCAAAAAAAGAGTTGTCACTTTTGGTGGGGGTCTTGCTTTTTAAGTTTGCCCTCTGTACAGGTGCCTGAAAAATGTACATATATTATAAGTTAGCCAGTATATTCTGCTATTTCAGCACATATCATTTTAAGTGATGAAAAACAGCACAAACGTACCTTTGTGAAGCGGTGAGGGCTTCTATAATGTGCCCTTATTGCGGTTCTTTCTGCATTCTTCTGCGCAAATTTGACTTGCCTCTGTTTCCTGCTCAGACAAAATACAAACAATTACATAATATATTATGCAATAAAGATCGGATAATAAGTGTCTAATAATTTTATAAGCGTATTTTAGTACCTTTCCCTGTGCAGTTCTGCTTGGTAAGTCCTTAACCAGGACGAGTCGTGTGCTGTCTGACTGTAGCAGCAGGGGGCGCTCTTCCTGCGGACGGTCTTGCCTTTCCGGCTAAATCCGTCCTTATCCCCGCTCACGCAGCTGCTCAGCTGTCGGAAGGGGGCACCCAGGGATTTCTTCACCACGGAATTCATCTCTCCTTTAGCGTGTGTTTACGAACTTGAGTCTTTCTCAAATTCTCAAAAAGTGACAGCCTACTGAAATTCAAGAGGAAGTGTATTCCAGCTTCTCCAGTTTCATACGTCCCAGTCTAATAAATAAATGTAAGCACAGGCTGCATTAAAACCTAGAAAAAAAATCACATATACCAATCAATTTATAGTAAACAACACTAAAAAAAATAAAAATAAAAATAAAAATAAATATATATATATATATATATATATATAGTAGTAAGCTTGCATATATTGACATTTTTATATGTATGTTCTATGTATCTTTATGTATCTTCTGTGCATGATGATCACATTTTTTAAATATCAAAAAAAAAAAAAAACAGGAATTTTAAATTTACAATATATTCAAAAATTCACAATATTACTCTTTTTACTGTATCTAATACAGTATTTATTCAAAGCTTTGGTGCGCATAGGAGACGTCTTTCAAAAACATTAAAAAAAAAAAATCTTACCAAATTTTATACATACTGTATTATGCAAAAATGCTAATTACATGTGATAATCACATATCTACACATATCACGTATCTACTTTACTTACAATGTACAAATAAATAAATGCATCCTTATGATGAATGCACTGAATTTATAAACAGTTAATATAATAAAGTAATATAGATAATTGAACTAAAATAATCTATTATCACATTTGATAGTCACTCGTGAAAATGCACTTATTTAGTTGTGTATTGTAAGTATAGTACAATACAATCTTAAGTTCTTCATGTAGATCATAATAACAGAAAAACATTAAGCATAAAGGTCCGACTTACCTGATATCTGTTGAAACTCTTCAGATGCACATCATTTGATCCAAGGAAACTGACGTCCAAACTCAGGCACCATCTGCAAGCTTTCCAACAGTCTTGTTGAGCTACATGTTTTTAAAGCCAGCTCCCTCTCTGCATCTGTCCCAGCTAATTCCCAAATGACGTAATTGATTATAGACCTAATCACATTAGTGATGGTGGGAGTTTCACAGTCAACCACTGACATGGTGCTGCTAATATCATTTCATTTACAACTGTGTAAAACTATATTTTAGTATGGTGAAGTTGGCCACCTGTTTTTCTTTAGACTTACAGTAACTTAAACAGTTGAAGAGAAATAGCTGTTGTATGATTATTGATCTGAACAGATTAAGGGTAAGATCTTTCCTCCCAGCAGATGGGAAGGTAGGAGGGAAAACAGATTGAGGAGCTTTACAGACAACATGAGATGAACATGTGAATGAAGTCCGTGTTGAACGAATGACGTGACAAAGTCATTTTTAACCTCAACAGCTGTTACACTATTTAGCCTCAAACAACCTGTTTCGAGTTCATTCTCAATTTAACATTACAGTCATTTCTTCAGTAATTCAAAATGATTCATGAAAACATATATTATTTTCTACTAATACAGGTTAGTTTATTGGGCCAAAGACACTCTAGTATGAACATTTTGTCCATTGCATGGCAAGTTTTATCCATGAAATATTATACGTGAACTGTTGCTGTTCATTAGGTGGAAATGTGGCTAAGTTCATTTTTTGCACTCTTTAGCAAATACTGTATTCAGGTTGTATGTTGGGTGTGTTTTAGTCTATGTTTCTCATTTGACAATAGGTTTGGAATGACTAAATGACTGAGAGTCGGCTAGAGTGATGCTTTCTAAATAAAGCTTAATGGCTGGTCAGAGAAAAGGTGCTTGTAGAAGAGCTTTACTGTGATTGTCTACACACTAAGCTGTGCTCTTTAAATCTTTTGGCCATGAATGAGGAAAAGAGGGCCAATAAAAACAAAAAAAACTCTTAATACATCTCTGGAATCTTTCATTCTTTCATCACATCTTTGCTCTTGACATGTTTATGTTTTCATATTTTTAGAATCAGTGCCATTGTTGCATTACTGCAATGTCTTTACAATTAGTTTTAAGGAATGATGGACGTTTGCTGAAAATTTAGGCCCCGATCACACAGAACGCGTTTTTTGCAGTGAGAGGCGCCTTTTTAAAATTGTTTTCGGGTGGCAGTGAGCTTTCTGCGCGCTGTTTCGCGTTTTTTTGCCGGAGCGCTCTGAGCGCCTGAAGTTGGAAAAAAAAAGCAACACTGAGCAGAAAAAGCACCCGACGTGTTCGGTGTGATCGGGGCCTTACTCACCTTTAGGCCATCCGAGATGTAGATGAGCTAGTTTATTTATCAGAACAGATTTGGATAAATTTAGCATTACATCACTTGCTCACCAATGGATCCACTGCAGTGAATGGGTGCCATCAGAATGAGTGTCATAAATACATCACAATAATCCACAAGTAACCGACACGACTCCAGTCCATCAACTACCATCTTGTGAAGTAAAAAGTTGCATGTTTGAAAGAAACAAATCCATCATTAAGGTGTTTTAACTTTAAACTCGTGGTTCTGGACCAAATACGAATCCATAATCCATAAAGCTTCTTCCAGTGAAAAAGTAAATTCCCTGTTGTCCTCTCACATAAAAGTCCACCAACATATTTGCACAGAACAATTTTAGTAGATGCTAGTAAACAGTTCTTTGTCTGTTCATATTTATCTCCTGATTCAGACAATATGACGGTTTCAAGCACACATCTTTTCACTTCAGAAGACATTAGCTGATGGACTGGAGTCATGTGGATTACTGTGATGCTTTTATCAGCTGTTTGCACCCATTCACTGCAGAGGATCCATTGGTGAGCAAATGATGTGATGCTAAATTTCCCCAAATCCGATCTGATTAAAAAAACAAACATCTATATCTTGGAGGGCCTGAGGGTGAGTACATTTTCATTTTTGGGTAAACTATTTCTTCAAATGCATGCCTCATATCCATTAGAGATAAAATATTAAGATTGAATGGAAAAATGTTATGATTTAATACTCGAGCTTCAAAATATTCCTGAGGGATGTGCTTATTAAAGACCACAGAAAATTGAGTTGTAAAGCCAAAGGATTATAAAGAGCAGAAGACAGTTTCATAGCGTTCAACTCAAGCTAAAGCACTGCATTAACTCCCAATCAAGTGCCAAAAGTTTAATTCATTTCAGCAGAATATCATCTGCACACATTGAGTCAATATAGAAACGACATGACGAGAACGTTGCGATTGTAAAAACATTTTTTTTGTTTTAAAGGATACTTGTAATTGTTTTTCATGATCTGATTTTATTTATCAATTGTGATTGTATAATTTGTGGTACGGTCTCTGTGATTCTTTTTGTATGAAACTTTATGTGCTGCCGTCTTGACCAGGTCTCACTGGAAGAAGAGATAGCAATATCTCAATGCGATTTCCTGGTTAAATAAAGGAATAATAATAATAGTAATTTTGCCTGGAGAGCCGCTGTGAAAACACATTCACAGCAAGCAAACAGATAGGCCCTTTATTCTATAGTCATAACATATATTTATTCATATTTACAAATTTATACAGTCAAATCCATACAGACACAAAATAAGATGTCCGGATAACTAAATAAATACTGTAAACGTGTGCTGAGGGACACAATCACCGGAACACTGCTGCTCTGATACTTGGTTTGAATTGAACCGAATACAAACAGTGTGTTATAATGCATCTGCGATTATCAGCTGAGGGCTAAAATGCACAAAACAGATTTGCCCAAAAATAACTATATTGTAACAGTGATGCTTGTTTTGTCAGTTATTTTCTCAAATGGAGTGTAACGTTAATGCTTCCCCCCCCCATCAAATACATTTTCCCCTGCTTATGGCAGTCCAACAATACCATTAGCCACAACTGGCTGGAAGAACTGAACTTGAAGGGCATATTTATTCAAAAACCCTCCAAATGTCCAATCAATCACATACAAGCATGACGGTTTACTAGGATCTTCTAGAAGTGCCAAGTTCCTCACATTGTCCCGCTGCACACGGAGATGTTCTCACATCATGGGAAGATGACTGAGAAATCATATGCTTCTCTTGCACTATAAAACGTTATGCCATGCCAGTTTAGCTCCATGGTATCTTTCTTGGCATGCGAGTCCTCAGGGTTTTTTTGGGCGTAAGACAGAGAGAGACGTTGGTTGAAGACGAATGTCACTGTCACCGACTGATGTCACGGTTGCCCTCCCAGTTCTTGCCGGCGCTCTGGTCAGCGCTGCTGATGGTGCTCTGAAAGAAAGTATGTCTCAGGGCTGCAGCCAGAGTGAGACGCTTCGTTGGCTCGTACTCCAGCATGGCCTCGATCAGATCGCAGAGCTGGTGATGCTCTTCAGCTTCAGACAGAAGATATCTCTGAGAGAGAGAAGAAAGATAAAGAACACTGTATGAGAACATTAACATATGACCGCCCAGATTTATATAAACATTCTAAAACAAATTTATATCCACTATTCACTATTACATTTGCTTTCCAGGCCAAATAAGGTCACATATATTAAAACTTCAAAGTTGTATTCATTTAAGAAAAAAGGGAAAACAAAAGTTAAATCAAAAGACTTAAATATGAAGCCCCAAAACAGTCTGTTACTTACCCGTAAAGGTTTGCAGTTTTCTCTGACGTATCGTCCTGCTGAAGAGTTCTCGTCCCAGTCCAGACGTCCACGATAAAAGTATTTCTGTTTCCTATGGGATGGAGGAATGATCATTTTAGTTGCACAAACTGCTGCACATGTAAGCATGAATGACATGTAAACTATGCTTTGAAGACAGGCTTTGGAAAACTGACAGTTACTAGCATCAAAGACTTACCTAGTCTTACGAATCATACGGGATGGAACAGGGCCCAAAATTCTCTCCATCATGGCTAAATGCTCCCGATTATCATGAGTCTGAAGACATCAACAAAGAAAATTAAGATGGATGAGCACTGCATATTTAGATTCTTTGCACACATTTTTGGCGGGTTTTACAATAAAGGTATGACATATGTTCCTATGCAGAGATCTGTGTTTGCATGAGAAAGAGAGAGAGCATTAGTGAGCACATCTGAGGTCAAAGGGTTAATACCAGGTGTTTGGCTTTAGTGTGCGTACGTGGACACATGTAACCCTTTGGTCAGTCTACCTGATCTTAAGCTGCTTAGTGAACATAAATAAGAGTGGTAGACTGTGTAGACCTGCTGTCATGACTCAGAAAGGTGGCATGAAAAAGGAAGTAGTGGAGCTAGGTTTTGTACCTGGAAAAGAGTGAAGCCGAGGTAGTACTCAAAGAGGATACAGCCAATACTCCACACATCACACGGCTGACTCCAGCCCAATTCTGCAAGGAAAAACCATTTGGTATAACATTTTGAGTTATAGAGTCATCTAATGGTAACCTTGTAACCAGGACACTGTACAGTATATTCAGTCAGCAGCAAGTGTGCAAACTGTTCAGGTCGAAAACTGCAAAAAAAAAAAAATTGTGATTACATCGCAATTATGATTCTCTGCAAGGATTGTAGGTGAATTATACAAATACATTACCATTGAAAATGTCTGAGGTCAGTAAGTTTATTATTTTTTGTTTTAAAGAAATTAATACTTCTATTCAGCAAGGACCCATTAAATTGATCAAAAGTGACAGTAAAGACATTTATGTTACAAAATAAATACAAATAAAAACTTTCTATTCAAAGAATTAACATTGATAATAAGTAATGTTTCATGAGCAACAAATCAGCATATTAGAATGATTTCTGAAGGATCATGTGACACTGAAGACTGGAGTAATGATGCTGAAAATTCAGATTCGCGATGACAGAAATAACTTATATTTTAAAGTAAATTAAAATAGAAAACAACTATTTTAAATGATAATATTTCACAATATAAATAAATAATAAATGAAGCCTTGGCACATAAGAGACTTTTTAAAATCTTACTGACCCCAACATTTTTATAGGTAGTGTACTTATAAATAAGATTGCCCATTGACTAATTTATATTTACAGCAAAGCAACATATTTCATAACAGAATATTTCATAAGAGATTTAGGATGGGTATCAGCTTTCATGGCAACCAGTCTTACGTTGGACAATTCCCTGCAGTCTGTTGAATGAAGTCACAGTGGTCTCTAGCTGGCTCTAATTAAATTCTCTGTGGTGGAAAGGAAGCAGCTAATCTGTGTTGCTGCAGCGATTAACTCATTCTAGTCCTGTGACTTAACAAGTCACGTATCATGCTAATACTACCAGTTATTATAATTCAAATTTACGTCCAGAACATTGTGTATTTCTCAAACAACATGTTTGGTCAGTCACCTGGCATGATCATCCTTACCTAGAATAACTTCAGGTGCTCTGTAGTGCCTGGTTGAAACAATGGTGCTGTGGTGCTCGTGGTCAAATGTAGCGCTGCCAAAATCCACCACCCTCACTGCTGTGTTCTTCACAGTACGCTCATCTCGCTTCTACCAAAGAGAGAATCTATATTAGTGGTCAGCTAATGGAGTTTTTGACAGCTGATGTCAACTTACAAAAAAATATTGGTTTGGTTAAAAGCTAATGAAACTCTCATCACCTTCTCCACATTGTATGTTATTGTGAAGTCAGAGTTGACGAACAGGATGTTTTCTGGTTTCAGGTCTGTGTGGGTCAATTTGTTTTCATGCAAAACTGCAAATAAGGAGAAACAGACCAACTTAGCATATTTACAAATAATATATACAGGACTGGCCCTTTAATACATGCCAGATGGAGTGCAACATCTGCTTCATCTGTGAAAAACTTTCATTCCAATTTCAATATGATTTTTGAAAAGTGTGTTTACTTACACTTGACAGCTAAGCAGATCTGGTAGGCCATATGACGCACTTGGCTAATGGAGTAGGGCAGGTAATTGTTTTCTTTGAGGAAATCAAAAGTGCTGAGAGCCAACAGCTCAAAACTGATACACATATGGCCATGATAGTCGAACCAGTCAAACATCTGCACACACAGACTAAGAATCGAGAAATACAGAAAAGAAAACAACATTGTTTAAGTTATTAAATACAGTGGTCTTTGGTAAGTCTGCACCTAGATGCTCTATACTTTAAGTACTGCATGTACAATTGCTCAAAACATGCTGAATTTGTGTTAATTTTGTAAAGATTGTGATCCAAACTCACTTCTTATTCTCAGGATCCTTCTCATTGATTCGTTCCAGTACGTTGATCTCCAGCCTGGCAGCCTCTTTGTACTTCTCCACATTTTTGATGATCTTCAGAGCGACATGTGCTCCACCCCTTAGCCAAGCAGAAGTGCATACATGTTTTCAGTCTCGTAGAAGTAGTAGACGAAATTAACTACTTTGATCATGGGACTATAGTAAACAGATGTCTTGTTTGTTGTAGAGAGACGCAAGTAAAACTGATAATCAAAACGCTCACTATAGAGCAATAAAAGCACCGGTAAGAGGTGGGGTGGTCCTTATTTTGCTGAACATTTTCTTAAAGGAAACATAAGCCTATAAGCCCTTGCTTTTCTTGCTGCCTATAATAACCACACACTGCATTTCTGGCCCCAAGAGCAGATATTTCCCAGCCTAACAGCTAGACAGACATTTTAACAGCCAAGCAACACTTTTTCATTTGAAGTTCACACCATGTTGATTTTGTAGTAAAGCAACTGATTGGTTGCTAAGAGATGACGTTCACCTGCGATGATCAATACATTGCATCACCCTCCCGAAGGTGCCCTCGCCCAAAGTGCTGGCAATCTCATCTAAGAGACAAATAGAGGGAGAAAGATGTAGAGAAAGGGGAGGGGGAGATGTAAAGAGAGCAATTAGACAGCACATTTAAAGAGAAATCCTAAACAAACTTCCTACAATCACATTTTTAACCATAACTGTGACTATCTATTTGGGTTAACCTAAAAAAAAAAAATAAACAAAAATCGGACAAGTGTCAATATGCACACACTCGATGAAAGGAATAAAGTAAACATGGATTGAAAAAACTGCACATTTTTCAAAAAAAAATTCTAATTAAATTAAATTAATTTTAAATCTAATTAAACAGAATTAAATCTGCATTTCTAATAAAAAAAAAAAGAAGGAAAAAATGGCCCGACGTAGACATAAGCGGCCTTTATTAGATAAAATGTTTAACTAAACGATTTTAAAACTATGGGATTGCTTTAAGCCAATTCGAAAACTAAAAATTACTGTATCTTCTATGAAAAATGACACGCATAGTCACTCTGGAAACATTGCTAATGTCACAGAGCAATCACATGATTGATTGACAGCATACGATGTAGGCGCAATGTGAATCTTGATGCAGCCAAATGCTGCAACAAGACCAGAATAAAACGCACATTATGGGGACGTGGAAAAGCTAAATCTGGGAAGCTGGCAGTCAAGAATTAAAAAGGATCATAATTCTTCTACACAGCAACACAAACAGCCCAACCCCATTGAAAAGAATGAATAAAGGAGCTACTAAAGACATGTTGGACATGCCTTCCCCCTTGCCTGTTCCGGCAAAAGGGGAGAACATTCTATGGCAGCATCATCATCACCACCAACATCATGATCATGACCTCCTGCCCTCCCCTGTGTGTGTCTGCTGTGTGCTGGTACTGATAGGGAGAAAGGTTACGATATAGGAGTAGAGGAGTAGTAGTAGTGGCAGTGTGTACATCTCTCTTGCAGGACGTCGCCACTCCGACAGATCAGGTGACCCTCCTCGTCGTCCCTCACACAAAGTGCCCGCGTCCCGCTGTCACTCCGCTGCTTCGGCCCCGGCCAGGGTCACAGGTCAAAGGTCACGCCACGACCGCAGAGGGAGGAGGGGAGGTGGGCGGAGCGGGGAGAGTGGAGGGGGACAGCCGTAGCCACGGCGACGAAGATGAGCAGTGTTGTAGTTGTTGTAGGTAGGTTTGGTGGTCATGGGGCGATTCGTTTGACACCACGTGAGGAGATATATATAACGATAGGGATATAGTGCAAGGGATCAAGTCAAAGATAACATTTTACCCCTCCCTTCTTGCTTGCTTGCTTTCAAACTCCCCCTCATCCCTCTGTCACAAAGTCACAAAAAGCAACCTGCATCAACATTTACTCATAGAAGAGCACATGAGTAAAGGCATTGCTAATTCACAACTATTACATATCCAAAGCAAAAGGTTGCTCTACTGGAAGACTGGAAATAAAATTAAAAAGAGCTGAAATTATGAAATAACTTTATATGCTTTCATTTAAAAAAATCTATTTTTTAACATCTAAATTGTGTGAAAGAGTTATATAGGTGTGTAGATAGAGCAAGATAAAGAATGGATGAGAGTTATGAGATATTAATTATGGAGGCTCTCCCAACAAACCTATTTACTACTATTAATATTAACATTAATGTCTATTGGATTGAGCCTCACTATAATGCTAGATGGGGCTAATTTGATTATAAACACTGAAAGCCAAGACTTGGACTATCACCATTAAAAAAGACAAAAATATTGGATTGAGTCTCACTATTTAATGTTACAGATGGGGCTAACACTGAAAGCCAAGACTCGGACTATCACTATCAAAAAAGACAAAACGTCAACAAAAAGAAGAACATAAAACAAAGGAGTTCATACTTACCAAATCCTGGGGCTGTGGAAAAGAAAAGCGTTATGGAGAAAGAAAGACAGGAGCGTGTAGGGGTAGAGATAGGAGAAAGGATTTGGGGGTGGGAAAGAGCAGGCTCGGGTATTGAAGTACTCACCGAGGACGATGGGCTATAGGACCTGGTTCTACGCCGCCTTCGTTTGTGCTTACGCCTGCTGCCTTTCCTCCGGTACGAGTCCTCACGGTCCCGATCGTGGCCCCGGCGGTAGTCGTAGCTGGGCGAGGTGTCGCGGGAGTAGTAGTTGCTCGGCGTCCCGTGCTCCCTGTCCCAGTCGCGGCTGTGGTCCAGGTGCCGATAGCTCTCGCCGTAATGTCTGTCGTAAGGCCTGCGGTCTGAAGAGCGGTTGTCGTAGCTGGGGAGAAGATAAGTGCCATTTAACACTTTACAGAATTACAGAATGATTCTGCTTCAAAGTAACCACTGCATACTTCCTGGTTTTGAATTAATATTCATTCAAAAAAAAAGAATTAGGACTTTACCATATTATCAGGTTTAAACATGACCACAGGTTAATTATTAAACCTTAATAATTAAAGTTTAAACCATTTTGATTGCAAATAAAGTCAGTGGTGAATACTGCATACATAGAGGAAATTCAAATCTGAAAAATTATTCATAAGAAATCCAAAAAGAGAAGAGGCAAAGGAACTACTGACTTCATCTCATGTAGAACTAGTAAATACAATAAACGTACCATATGTTAATCAAATAGCAATTTATTTGGGAAAAGTAGTGATTTATAAAAATTAAAAAAATTATCTAATATGTTGATTTGCTGCTCAAGAAACATTTCTTATTATCAGTGCTGATAACAGTTTTTGTTACGTAATATGCATATTAAAAAGTAAGATTATTATATTTATTACTAAATATACATAAAGTAAATATTACTATTGTAATACTTCCCTGAAAAACAACTGCTATCAGCTTGTGCTTTTTTGAGCCGTGTAAGGCATCAAGCAATGGTAAACCATGAAATTTTGGTCAATGGTTCCAGTACTTGATCATACCTCCTGGATCGGGCATAGCCGGGATTCTGTCTGTGTCCTCTCCCCCTCCTCTCACATTCACTGCTGGAGGAGAACGTCGGTGAGCGGCGATGCCGAGGTTTTCTCCCTCGATCTCTGTCCCGTTCCCGATAACGATCTTGGTAGCTGCAGTGGCTGGCCCTCTCCGAGGATGGGTACCGTCTGGAGTGTGGCATCTGCACAAGATGCAACAAATATATTATGATAAATACAGGGGGAAAAAAGTATATATATATATTATTAAAAAAGAAAAAAATTGTGGTTTTTATATATATATATATATACATACATACATACACACACATTTTTTTTTCTTTTTAATGGACATCGGAACATCTTGAACATTTTTATGAGCTGGACAGGTAAAAGCTGAACTACATTAATATTAAAAACAGCATATTTTAAAGCAAGACAAGAACACAACATACATAAATTGTTAAAATCTCAATATGTTTTCATTAAGTAGGGAAGACTGACATCTATATTTATATGCTAAAAATAGAGGTGAGAATAACTAGTCTGTGACTTTTAGAAGTCACATTGATTTTGGACTCTTTTCTTCTAAAAAAAAAAAAAAAAAAAAAAAAGCAAAAAGAGGGACATTCTCCATCTTGTCTCATTCCATAGAACAAAGGGAGGTCACGCAGTAGGGGCCTTTTCACATGCTGGAAAAAGGTCTATAATCCAGCCATTTAATATAAACAATAATGAGCATATAGAGGAAAAAGCAAACAACTGTCTTAAGTTTTTACACTATTATTTACCCAGGGACAAGCGTGTAAAAAAAAAAAAAAAAAAGCCCATATGTGGGCAGTTTATAGAGGCAGGTCTAGAACAGGTCTTAAAGGGGTCATATGATGCTATTTTAAAGATCATTATTTGGTGTATTTGGTGTAACAGAATATGTTGACATGCTTTAATGTTCAAAAAACACATTATTTTTCAAATACTGTACATTATTGTAGGTCCTCTATGCCCCGCCTCTCTCAAACGTGTCGTTTTCAACTAAG